ATATAGATGAGTGACAGTTTTCTAATATCGAAGGCACCTCTTCCTCTGGTACACAGCGACGAAGAATTTGATCAGCCCCCCGCCTGTAGAGAATGGGATCTTCCTAAAAATAATACTTCAATTCAGCGAAAAATTTCTTCTTCTGATGACTTGAATAATCTAGCGGTATGATAGACCTGGCTAAATAGTTAACTATATCTGCATACCAGGGTGTTTCCATCACACCAAAAATCTGTTCGTCTGGGAAGATTTCGTTTATTTCCACTGTCTCTGTCCGTTCTGTGTCCTCAAGCCGAGATAGGTGGTCCGCTACCATGTTTTCACTGTCTTTCTTATCCTTAATTTCCAAGTCAAACTCTTGAAGTAGTAATATTCAACGAATGAGACGTGGCTTAGCATCCTTCTTTTCCATTAAGTACCTGATAGCGGCATGATCTGTGTAGACTATGACCTTCGACCCCACAAGGTATGATCGAAATTTGTCAAATGCATAGACTATAGCAAGAAGCTCTTTCTCCGTGGTGGCATAATTTAACTGAGCATCGTTCAAAGTCTTACTTGCATAGTAGATCACGTGAAATACCTTATTCCTTCGTTGACCCAACACGGCTCCCACAGCATAATCACTGGCGTCACACATTAATTCAAATGGTAGATTCCAATCCGGTGTGATAATTACAGGTGCTGAAGTCAACTTCTGTTTCAAAGTTTTAAAGGCTTGCAGACACTCATCAGTAAACTCAAATGTGGATTCCTTCATCAATAAACAGCACAGAGGTTTGGTAATTTTTGAGAAATCCTTGATGAATCTTCTATAAAACCCTGCATGACCAAGAAAACTACGAACACCTTTTACTGATGTAGGTGGAGGTAGTTTCTCGATTACTTGAATCTTTGCTCTATCCACTTCAATGCCCTTCGCCGAGATTCGATGCCCTAGTACGATGCCTTCTTGTACCATAAAGTGACATTTCTCCCAATTCAACACCAAGTTGGTCTCTATACACCGTTGTAGCACAAGACTTAGATGCTCCAAGCACTCATCAAATGAAGATCCAAACTCAGAGAAGTCATCCATGAATACCTCGATGAATTTCTTAATCATGTCTGAGAAAATAGCCATCATGCAGCGCTGAAAAGTAGCGGGAGCGTTGCATAATCCAAATGGCATCCTTCTATATGCAAAGGTGCCATAGGGACAAGTGAAAGTGGTCTTCTCCTGATCGTCTGGTGCCACTGTAATCTGATTATACTCGGAGTACCCATCTAGGAAATAGTAATGTGAATGTCCCGCTAATCTCTCCAACATCTGATCAATGAACGGTAATGGAAAGTGATCCTTTCGAGTAGCTGTGTTAAGTTTACGGTAGTCAATGCAAACTCTCCATCCAGTCACTGTCCGTGTAGGAATCAACTCATTTTTCTCATTTTCTATCACTGTGATTCCTCCTTTCTTGGGGACAACTTGCACCGCACTGATCCATGCACTATCTGATATTGGATAAATAATGCCTGCATCGAGCAACTTCAATACCTCAGCTCTAACCACTTCCTTCATGTGAGGATTCAATCTCCGCTGCCCATCAATGCTCGGTTTGAATTTTTCCTCCATGAGTATCTTATGCATGCATATAGACATGCTGATCCCTTTGATATCTGCAATTGACCATCCAATAGCTGTTTTGTTCTCCCTTAACACCCGAAGTAGTTTCTCTTCCTCTACCTCACTGACAGTGCTTGAAATAATAACAGGTAGTGTAGAAGATTCCCCCAGGTACGCATATCGAAGATGTGGTGGCAGTTGTTTGAGTTCCAATTTAGGCGGTTTCATAATAGATGGCACTGATTTTGCAGTCCTAGTTCCCAACTCTTCATAGTAGCGTCTGCGCATATATGGCTGGTTACTTTCCAAAAATCGAGCACATGTCTCAATCTCACTTGAATCAGAATGGATGGATTGTGAATGTGCAATGCATGCCTCGTATGCATAAGAAGGATGATGTAGCAGAAATTTGTCTTGAACTATTCGGTCGACTACATCGATCTGGAAACAACTGTCTGACTCAGTAGGGAATTTCATTGCTATGAACACGTTGAATGAGATTTGCTCGTCACCAAGCCTCAATATCAGCTGCCCCTTCTGAACATCTACAATCGCTCTCCCAGTGGCTAAAAAAGGTCGCCCCAAAATGAGTGGAACATCCTTATCTTCTTCTATGTCCAAGATAAGAAAATCGGCTGAAAATATGAACTTCTCCACTTTTACCAGCACGTCTTCAATAATTCCTCTTGGATGTGTAAGGGATCTATATGCTAACTGTAATGTCACTGTTGTGGCTTTTGCTTCTCCCAAGCCGAGTTTCCTGAAAACAGAAAGAGGCATTAGATTAATACTTGCACCCAAATCACATAAAGCCTTATCAAAATGACAATTTCCTATAGTACAAGGTACAGTAAAACTCCCTGGATCTTTTAGTTTTGGAGGTAGTTTTCTTTGGATTCTGGCACTGCATTCCTCAGTTAGCATCACTGTTTCGTGTTCTTCTATCTTTCGCTTGTTGGAGAGGATATCCTTCAGGAATTTTGCATAGCTCGACATCTGGACAAGTGCTTCAGCAAATGGGATGTTGATGTGCAGTTTCTTGAAGACTTCAAGGAACTTACTATATTACTGATCCATTTTGTGCTTTCTCAACCTTTGTGGAAACGGAATAAGAGGCTCATGAGGGTTGACAGGATTAGTATTTTTTCCCTGTGATGTCTTGGAATTCTTCTTAACCTTATCTCCTGTTGCATTGTCAGTTTGGTCCACAATTTCTTCCTCCAAGGTTGATGTTGATTCCTTGCTGGCCCCCGAGCTTTTTACATGTGGCTCCGGTAGTTGTACTCCACTTCTGGTTGTTATAGCCTTTGCATGTTCCTTAGGGTTAATTTCAGTATTGCTGGGTAGGTTTCCCGGTGCTCTACCCGTCATGGAAATTGCCATCTGTCCCACTTGTGTCTCCAAGTTTGCACTTTGATCTTGAAGCGTTGATTCCGTCCTTCGCATAAATTGGTTATTGGCTTCCATGTACTGATTGGTTTGTGCCATAAATTTCTCGAACATATCCTCCAATGGTGACTTTTTGTCTTGCTGCTGATATTGCCCTTGTGGTTTGTTTTTATTTTGATTAGCCCACAAGAAATTTGGGTGTTTTCTCCAGCCTGGATTGAAGGTTTCTGAATGTGGGTTATTCTGCTGGCACTGACCCCATTGTGCGAATNAAACGAGAACCTCGACAAATGACATCGGCAACGATTGAATTCCTCCTTTATTCTTCACTTTTCAATCAAATTTCTATCTTCCAGCAACTACAGAAACTCTATATAGAACACACGCATTACATGCATGAAAAGAATCAAAATTATTGACGACTTCAAGTACAGATACTGGTTCGGATAGAGAGGAAAAGATCGAAGGTATAGATATAGCTATAGATGTATAGATACAGAGGTGTTGATATAGTGAGAGAAAGAGAAATGTCGACATTTTGTAGAGAGAGAAACAGAAGATGCAGGGGGCGGATCCTGGAAGATGCATTCTTTACTTGCAAAGGATTTGACTCTGTCGACACTATATAGGCAATATTGCAAGACTCTCTCTATACGTGACGATATGTGAGTGTATTTATTTTATAATTAATTTGCATTTATTTATTTATTTGTATTGTGTTGACAACATTTATTTACACTATTTTTCCTCTCATCATTTTGTTTCAGGGTTATGAATTATTAACTATTTTAATGTAATTTCCTTAATTTATATGGAAAATTTTGACAAATTTTATCGCGTGTCTTCTTTATTAAAAGTCTGTTTGAGCTTTATTTTTATTGAAAAATACATTTTAAAATACTACGTTGATTGATAGCTTGTTTGGGAGTGATTTTTTTGGCCCAAAAATTGATTTTTTGACCGTTATTTCATTATTTCAGTAGTCATATTTGACTTCTTCTCTTTCAGATAGATCCCACTTTTCTCCTAACAGTCAAAAAATAAATTCTCAAAATCACTCTCAAACAGGCTCTGAGAATGTACAGTTAAAAAAATGAATTTTTTTTGAATATTTGTAATATTATTTTATTGAAAATATTTGTTCGAAAAGAAAAGAGGAAAATATACTTTCAAAATAATGAGAATAAAATAAGGATTAATTCTTTTTATTTAATTAATTAGTTCCTATCAAATAGGCTTAGTATAGTGTAATACGTCTTCTCTGCAATAATATTAAGCCCCACCTCTCCCTTTATTTATTGATAAACATTTAGTGCTTATTTGGTACAAATTTTAAGTCAATTAAAATTAATTTTTTGATCAATATTTCACTATTTCAATCGTCATTTTTGAATTCTTCTCTCACAAATAGAACTTATTTTATCTCTAACGATTTAAAAATTAATTATGAAAATTCCTACCAAATAAGCACTTACTATAAATCTCAACTCAAAATCAATAATTAATTTTAATCGCACATTAATATAAGATTCTTTTCAATTATAAATTTCATCAACTTTTACAAAAATCGACTAAATCTCTATTTGAATTTCATTATATAAAAATTAATCTTTATTCAAATTCATTTTTAATTACACATCCCTTCAATTGTTGGAGGGCGATTCTTACACGATTTTAATCAAAATTTGGAACGTTGGAAATGTAGTGGGTCCCTTTCAGCCGTAATTACTGACTAGCTTATAAATGATCACCAATGTCCTTTCAAACAAAGTGAGTTAAATGTCAAAAATGTATATAGGTCTGCAAATTTTCGTCAATAAGTGCCATTGGTTTTCAAATTATAATGGTAAAAGTCTTGAAATTAATATATATATATATAACTCTTTTTTTAAAAAAAAATATATAAAATGGAGCTCAAATAAATGCTAAAAATGTAATTTTAATTTACACCAAATATGAGCTAAACAAGGTGACAATTTGTCCTCCGGGACATAATCCAGTGGTGTAAAGGACAAAAGTGAGATTATCTCACGCCTTACTGGCAGCCACAGTAAGGGTTCGATTCCTGAGATATAGAATTGGACTCCTTGTAGGCACAGTGTACATGTAGTTCTTGTTCCCTGACCTGTTGGGACACATCCCGCGATTTACCTTCCTTATAAAGTTTTAGGGACGGGACGGTGGATGCCTTCAAAATTGGGGTTCAACTTTTTTTTTTTTTTTAAACAAGGTGACAATTTTATCTCTCTTCATTAATCTTGCATACATTTGTTCATTCAATGTAGTAGACAACATTTCTATTTGTATACCATTCTCTAAATTTATTTTAGTTTTAAAAGAAGAACCTCATGTTCGACCTCACATTCTTACAATAAAATATTTAGCACGTAAATCTAAAATAATTTTTTATTTTTATATATTCTCCGAAAAAAATTATTATTACAAAATTTTTTATCCCAAAAAATTCTTTTTAATAACCATCAAACTTGGGGTTATTAAGATTTGAACCTTTTTGTCATATTTGTTTGGACTTGCCCAGTTCACCTTATCAAAAGTATATGGCGATATTATTTTTTAAAGGAAAATATAATTTTTGTAGTATTAATTCGTCTTTCATATTTGTTCCGACTTGTCAATTCACCTTTTCGAAGATGAAGTAATAGTGCCAGTTATAAATTTTTTAATGGCTGTGATTATTACAAAGTTTTGCTTAATTGTAGGGTATTTTCTTAAGCACCGTATTTAAATTTCGGAAAATCAATTTGTAC